GAGGAGACGTCGATCGAGTCGCGCTTAGTCGACAAAAGGAATTCTCGAAAGGCCTTCGGGAACGAAGTTCGGGACACAAAGCACTCGTCGAAAGCGACCAACCCGGGCTCTACTGTTCTCCACTTGGAGCTTCACCCAAGTATTCGGCACTTCGTGCTCGCGTATCCAAAGTTTCCCCGTAACCGAGGTTACTACTGGGTGGAAGATAGTTTGGTTACAGGCACACCGTCAACCAAACTGCCTAACGAAACTATGCGCAAACTGGATTCACCACTGGATGCAATATTTATCGCCGAGGCTTTATGCAAGTCGGCTTAAAAAAGCGTTCGAAACTCCGAGCTCCTAATTTCCTGTTTTCTCCTCCCCAGCCGGAAGGGTTCGAACGGATGCGAAGTTGAACGTCCCTTTCCATTTATTGTAAATAATGTAAATAATCCTGTTAGAGCGGAGTGGCGCACGAATTGGGACCAGAGAAATAATCCAAATTGGAGCATCGAATATTTCTTTCGACGTGTTCAGAGACTTGGCAATTATGTCTCTTTAAAATGCCATTATGTCCCAATGCAGCCGCGGAAAGGGATTCCCTTAAAAAAGGAACTCGGTACCTCCCGGAAGCGCTATCATTTCTCAACGCAACGTCCGGTGGCCGAGAGCTTAACTATCACCCCCGAGTAAATATTTATGAGATGTGTGTTTTTTTTTTTTTAAACCGCGACCTCCTAAAACTTTAAATTACGACATTTGTCGGTGACCATCCCGCGCAACGTCCGGACAGGCAGGTCGTTCGTTAGAAAAATGGCTGCACAGGGAAGAGATGCACAAGTGCATCCTCGAAGCGACTAATAACTCGTCGCAAATTTCCAACCCGACCGCGGCCACTGAATATCGGAATCGCTCTACACCGGGGGCGGTGATTTATAAAAATCACGAATCCACCGGAAAGATGACACCTCGATAAATAATATCATCTCGAGGACCGCAATTTTTTCCCAGCCGGTTCGTTCCGTCATTTCCACCTCCGTGTCAACGAGGTGAATTCTCCACTTCGTCAGGGTTTGAAGGGATCCCGTGGAATATAAATCCCCTAAAAAAATGCCGTCAAATCCAGGTATAAAATGCTATTATCAATTATCGGTATTAATTCGCTATCGGTCCAGCGGACGGATGCCGCTATCTAGGAGTTGGACTATCAAAATAAATTGCGAGATTCATTTTTATCGATCCAATTCCATCAACCGCGTGGTACGGCTCTAACCGCATCTATTCGTTCAGAATGTGTCGATTATAAAACGGCTTCGATTGTCTAGAATTGACGGCTCGGCAATTACCTATTACGATATCGATGATAAAGGGCTCGCGAAAAACTCCGATGCACGTTCAAAGGAGTGTCGGAGCTCAGCTCGATTTAATATTCCTCGTGGAAAGATCCGAGTATTAGCAGGCCTTCACCGAAGTACGCTTCACATAATAGATCGCTGACTTGGTAATTGCAGGTAAAGTACTACGTGATTTAGTCATGCGAAATAAAAGGGGAATACATTATCCCTTTTAAGGAGAGCGGCTTCGCTCTTCACCTACGGCATAGGGTCGTATAAAAAGATCGGACTTCGGTTAAAGTTACCGGCATGTTACCCATGAATATGCACCGCCGCTTTACCTTGAACCATTAAATCTTCTTATATGAGGTGCATGCAAATGCACGGCATTAAAATTATTCAATTTTAAGAATGGGTTGATATCGTGCATTATCGCGACGCAAGATGCCCGTCTACACCCTTCCACGATATAATAATTACCCACGGTGACTTCTTGCGTAAAATAAATTCTTCTCTTAGGATTTTTAAATAATCATTAAAATTAGTATCTTCGTCGATCATTTTCCTGCTTACGGTGATTTTATTATAAATTTTGCATGCCTGACCATCCTCAACGAGATGCACTTACGCGGCCATTTCCAAGCTCGCGCGTAGGTCGTGCGTGGCGTAGAACGTCTCCCTTGCAAGTTCCCCTTATTAGAAGCATCCTGTTAATAAAATCCATTTTTACATCGCTTTGATGTCCAGCGGGCTAAAGAAGTATTTTTCACGCGTAAGTTGATGAACTAGGAGGGTGTCCAGGGCATACGCGATGAACGACGTGCAAGTGCGTCAAAAAAACAATCACCACTCGAGTATTAATTTTAAAATTCCTCTTCAATTAATAAGAGTGAGGACGAATTAGAGAATCAAAAAAAAATCGGAACACCACGGCGCGAGAGGGCTGAATAAAAATTACGCCCGTGAGAATATCCGAAAGGGTAGCCATCCGGCAGATGAATAAAATCTGGAGAATGTTAGTTTGCGGGTCAACGGAGTCGTAAAAATGACGAGCCAAAGCGTGGCTTTTCTTCTCTTCGACACCTTATCGATATCACCGCTTCCTACTCTTCCTGGCGATCCTCTTTTGCATTTTTCCCAGTAAACCCCGAGGGTTAATGAAGCATTCACGGCTCGCTGATGCGGATAGACCATGAACCACGGGCTCCGGAAGTTCCCAACAAAATCTCCTCGGTAGCTACTCTCTCCCCGGTAGCTACCTTCTCCCGTTCGTCCATCGGTGAAATGAGATCGAGTAAAAAGTCTCGCAATGTCGAGGAAAAGGGCTGAAAAGGAGCAAGAAGAGGATCAAGCTCTAACTCTTCGATGTCGCTTTGTAGGTAAAGTCGGGTGGCCGAGTCGGAGGTATAACTAATTCGATTATACCAAGTAATGCTCCCTCTTGGCACGGTTTTATCTCGCCAGACATTAGAGCCACCTTTCCCATGGGATTCCCCGTGCAGCCAGCGTATCAAGGTGAACTCAATGGTGCATGTACGCAAAACCGCGGCCAATGTACGGGAATTTAAGGTAGGTACAATTAAGATCGCTCTCGAGGAGCACTGATAGAAAGCATTAGGCACGCTATAGGAATAATTTCGAGGAGCTTCCGATAACTCGGTGCATCTTCTGCTGCACCTTCTGGTTGCACCTTCTGGCTGCATCCGGAAGCGAGGGGCTGCCGTTGCTCCGGCAACCTAATCCAATCGACGCAGTGCGGGTTTTAATCTATTTCTGCGTGTAATCGCTGGCGGTTGGGTGCATGAATATCCCAGAGATTCGCAGGTAAAAAGTAGACAATGACTTGCCATTAGATGGCTTTCGTTATATCTTCCTCCCCCAATCGGTATAAAATATTCCATGGAACCTGAGTAAGAAAAAAATAAGAAAGTTAAAGAATGGCGTTGTAAGAACGAGAGACGTCGACGTCCTCGACGCGACGACTCGATACCAGACTCCTCCCCGGTTTAATAATAACGAGCACAAGATCGTAATTTATATTTCCTAGGACTCGCCCGGAGGAACGTACGAGCCAAGGGAAAGGACGAATGGAATAACGAGACAACGGCAATATCCCGGAAGGTAGGACGAGAGGCGAAGTACCGCACTCCGAAATTGCATCTTGAAAGTGCAGGCAAGCCGGCGCTCACCATTATCCACTTACCCCTTGCAGACAGGTTTTAGACAATTTAACACCAGCAGACTCGCTACTGTAATCCGCGATTACAACTATAAGTCCCGCTTTAACTTGAAGGAGCATGGGAATCGCGGATAATAATGTTCGTCTCGAGTCGGGACGGATAAGCGAACAATGCTGCTGCCTAACGATAAGTGCTCAAGAGTGGTGTCGCGTTCCGGGATACGTCTAGCTTCGCAGGATTCGCGAAAACCGGAAATGTCGAGCCCACCGAGCATGACGCCCGAGTTTGGCGCATATTAGTCAGCAAACGGCACAAATCTTGGAAGGACCCTAGAGACAGTTGCGCCATATCGATTCGCCAGACGTCCCATTAGGTGGAAAAGATCTAGGGGAAGAAAAAAAATAATAGAGGATAATTCCCGAGATCGAAAGACGAGGAGGGAGGCAGAGAAGCTCGGCTTCGACCTAACCTAAACCTTTCGACGGGTGCCGCAAGCACGTATTGGCGTGCACGCATTACCCCCGAGTAACGGCTACGGATTTTACAGGGATTAAACGTCGCGCGCAATTTCCAATGCCGGGAAACGCTAGTAGGGCGCTTCTAGTACCTAGGAAGAGCGCATTAATGCTTCACGGAATACGGAATACGGAGGTACCAAAGGAGGCCTAGTCGGTATTCAGGCTGCGGGGACAAGAGCTCTTCGGACTTATAAGACTCGAATGGCGAGGACCCTTTCAACCGAATCTTGATGCAAATTCCCGTCCATTATCGACTTGTGCGGCGCCAACGATCGGTCAATCGTTACACACCAATGTACTTTAACGATCGACGCGACGAATATTTCGTTTTCGTTTCGTTAATCGCTGTGTCGTATTTTTATTGGATATTTATTAAAAGAATACAGGGACCTTAACACACTGCGTAACGGGTAGGAAAGAACCTGACACGGATTAAATTTCAACGCTGCTTGTCCGCCCTTGGAGATTCCACCGTTAAGCGTTCCGAAACTAATGCGCTACACTTCATATTTTGAATCTACGAACTGTCGCGCGCAAGGTTAGTGCGACGCCAGCGCCAGTGAAGCTGTGGATGTAATCGGTACTCTATTCTTTATTTCAGTGGCCTTGACTGATGTAGTGGCACCATCTTGCACTGATATCAAGTATTTCATTCATTATTTTAGGCACATAGATGAATGTTAGATATATATAAATTATATCTGTTTGCTGTTCTTAACCATTTTATACTTAATAGCCCGTCAAGACTTCAAGAAATTGCGTGTTGACAATACTTGCGAATCGAATCGCATTTACCGTACTGCATCTTCGTTGAAAGGTAAATTGTGTTATTAGAAACATAATTCCTCGTTAAATGCAGTCAGGAAACGGAATTTATGTAATCTTGACCTATCATAACCTGAAGACGAGAAAAAAATATTAAAATTTGAACAATTCTTGACTGAATATGAGAAGTGCTGGTGTATCAATGCATTAAATAATAGTATGATAGAATACTGAAAAAGAGATTTATTCAACAAGATGAACTTTCCATGGAAATCATTTATCAAAGAGTCGCCGGATGTTCCTATAAACTCAGTAAAAAGTCCACAAAGCTACCTGAATTTTGACAGTGCCGAAGCACGAGCAGCATACGAAGAAATTGTCCAACAAAAATCTGATGCAACGGAACTACCAAAGGAAAATAGTAATTACCACCAAGAACAGCCAAATCTTCAAACAAATAAGTTTGTAAGGTCCTGCGGCGTTACAATAACTCGGGTTGCTGAAAACAATAGTACTAAAGTTTCTACTAACTCAATTTTGAAGGCTGTAGAACAAGGTGATTTGATTTTTTTAAAGCAACACCTAACACCGGAAAATGTAAATGTAACCGACGACTTTGGATGGACGCCGTTAATGTTGGCAGCATATTGTGGCCAGCCAGCAATCGTAGAACTTCTGCTGAAACTCGGTGCTAATAAAAGGGCAAGAGAAAGATCTGGCCTAACGGCGGCACAATTAGCTTTAAAAAAAAATTTTATAAATATAGTAGCTCTCCTTCGGAAAAGAAACATTCTTGAAAAGACTGAAAGTCAATTGTCATGGAATTTTAAACTAAAGGAGGATATAATAGATATAACGAAAAGTAATGCTGTAAATTTACAAAGTGAAATATTAAGACAAGGTGAAAGGAACAAGAGCACTGAATTTTACTGCGAAATTTGTAAATCTCACTTTAAAGAGACTACAATAAAAAAACATGAAACTTCAACATTGCACATATTCAATACAAAGCCGAAACTACCTAGCGCAATTTATGGAATATCAAAGCAAAATAAAGGCTATAAAATGCTTATAAATACAGGCTGGGATGAAGGTGGTGGTTTAGGACCATCCGGAAAGGGCTTGAAATATCCTGTAAAAACTGTGTTAAAAGCAGATCGAAAGGGTCTCGGTCACCCAACGGATCTTGAACCAAGGGTAACCCATTTTAAACCTGGAGACCCTAGTGCAATTATTTTAAACAAAGTACCAAAGCATAAGCCATTTAAAATGAAAGATCGAGAAAAATTACTCAGCAAAGAATCTAAGAAAGAAAGAGCTATACGTATAGCACTGTCTTAAATGTAACGAGATTATAATTTTATTACAACACATCGATAAATAATTTATACAGTAGAATCTAAAAACTAAACAAATAAGACAAATTGATGAAATTTATATTTAAGGAGTTTAGATATGTACGTTACAAAATTATAAAATAGTAAGTTTTTCATTCTCCAAAGTGTATTATTTATTGATTGTGTTAAATGTTTAAAAAATATATGCATTGCCTATATGTCCATAGATAATTGAAAACAAGATATACACAGTATATTTTCAATTAAACATGTTATTTATAGATGCTGAATGATCAACAAAGATTGTTACAACATCTCCAAGGAGTTGAAAAGAAAGCTGGAGAAATCCTTACTGACCGGCAAGATGTTGTTGCATTGGATAGAAGAAGAAATGATGATAGGGTAGGGATGAGAGCATTGCAACAACAGAAATGTGATAAGACATGGATTACAGTCGGGCCTCTATTATTAAAAATGTCATCCAACGAGGCTGAAAAATTGCTAATACAAGGTAGTTGTTTCCAAGTATCCGTAGAACAAAAAATACCAGATTACGTTATCAGATTTAATATTTTTTCAGATCAAAAAGAATGTGACATAGAAATCAATAAAATTAGAAGCAACCTCAAGGTTAAAGTCAATGAATTAAGGGATCTGGAATTTAATCCTCCAGTACCTGGTTTAATGCTAAAACCTTTGTCGCATAAAGAAATGGCAGCTTTAAATGAAGGAAGAGGGAAGAATTTATAAGATTATACACTATAAATTTTGTTAATGTAAAATGTACCATGTTGTGATTGCAAAATAATACAATCGAGATAATTTATCAATTTTTAGTATAAGCTCGAATTTTCTTTATGCTTTACCACATGCGTCTTGAATCTTTTTACACATTTTGTTTTTCAAACAACTATACTTAACATCCTATATAAATTAGATCTTAACGTCCTATAACGAATCATCCTATTTTTGAAACGGTGCCTTGGGTACTAGAGGCATCAGCGGAAATAACGGCGCTCGCGTCGCAAAATTTTGATAGCTGTGTCCGCTTAGGCCTGGCTATTTTCATCTCTCTGTTCCCAACTCATCTTTGGTAAGTAAAATACCCTAGGTAATTTACACGTTTGGTTTACAGTAAATTACTAGATATTTTTCATCACGTATTTTGTACACGATGTAAATTACGTGAAAACAGGACTTTATCAGTCGAGCTGTGGACATGCTATTTTGAATTTGAATATGACTTTTTAACTTGGAGCGAGATACAATTGTTAGGTTATAAATGTATGTATGTACACGATGCTGTTTCATACATTTGAAGGTTTTTTAACCTCCATTTTGTTGTTGTCAAAGTTTTGGAAGCGTAAAGCTAAAAAAGAATCTGAAAAACGTACTGATCTCTAATTCCAGGTTGGTTATGTTCAACTTCCCATGATCGTCATGTAGGATTGCACAATGGTACATACGGTACAAATGAGAATAAATATGTTTTGACCTTTGTCATTCTCCTGGATATATAAAATGATTTTTTGGACATCAATATGTACAAAGACAAAATAGTAAAACGTATTCCGGGAGATATTCCTCCTCCATCGAAAAAGGAAGGTCAAGGCTACATCGATGATCTGTCAAACAAGCAAAAGTGGGAGTTGCAAGATCTGTTAGAGAGACAAAATAAATTAATAGCCAGGTTGGTTCCATACAAACTGCAATATTTGTTATAAAATAAATAATATTGTTTTTTCTTGTAGACCGTTGACCTCCCGCCTCCCTGATAAAGGTGAGAAAATTAAAATTTTTCGTGACAAGATTATAAAAGAGTTAAGCCATCGCGATGAAGTGGAAAAAGCTGCTAATCTGCTTTCACGGCTTAATATTGCATCAGAAGGTAAAATTGCTATGAATAAATTAGAATGGACTGGAAAATATAGTGAAACATCAGAGGAAATAAAAACGATAGAGTTGGATAGTGACGATGAAGAGGATCCATTGATGGTCCTTGCACAGGTATTTTTATTGTAAAAAAATTGTTCTAAAATTTAAGAAGTCTAATATAATCATTAAGTACTTTGATTGTATTTTTTTACTGAATAGCCGACTGGAAGCGGTGTGCACAAGAAAAAAGTAATACATTTGGCTCCAGAAGAAAGCTTAATAACTCCCGAGGATTTAAAGGAGCTCGCATCGCATACTGAAATTGGGAAGGAAGAAGAATTGGAGCACGTGAAATATATATTGGATAAAGTGGAAAAATCAAATAGTGAACAAGTTGGCAAAAAGAGAGAGCCATTTAAACCTTACAAGACAACAAAGAGTAATGTTCATGATCCTATGAAAGAAAAACAGCGAAAGAAAGGCAGCCATTGGGAAATTACTGCTGCTACTCCACCACTCATAGTACATGGAGCGGTAAAAACATTAGATTTGCAAGAGTCTTTAAAGCTTCAAAAGGAACAAGCTGAAAAATTACAGGTTTGGTGTAGTTTAAATAAAAATATTCAGAGAACATTCAATGTATTAAGATCAATGACGTTACAAATTCCTGTTCTTATTGGATTACTGTGTTACAGGAAGTACAAGCAAAACATGCAGCAGAACGGTTGGCTGAACAGTTAGGTTTACATAGCATAGGATCATTACCATCTAATATAGGCAAATATAGGTTACCTGATGCACACTCGACTTCTGCATCGAGTTCAGATGATGAAGAGGAACATGAAGTTCATGACGAAGAAAGCCCTGATGTTGGTGGAACGGTTACTTATACAGTTGAGAGTGTTGAAACCTAATATGAATGGACAAATCCTAATTTAACAAGTTACTTAACATGTGTACATAAATTATTTTATTGAATGAGGAAGTTTTTTACCATGTAGCAAGGATTTTACAAATTAAGTCAAGCTTTGTATCATTAAAAAATGAACCCAATTTATTTTCTGGACAAGGCTTTATTCTCCCTTATATAACACGCTCTAATTATAACCATAACCATTAATGATTTTCGTGTACGGTGCTGCTCTCTGAGCAACTGCTTCTCCTGCTTGTTTGGTAAGTTTCTGGAAAAAAAGAAAACAGTTTTGTAGAAATATATAAATTCTTTAAAAAATCAGAAATAACATAATACATGAACTATCAGTAAAAATTCTGCAACATAAGAAGTTAACTTCATTTCAGACGCAAATTACCAAAACCATCATTATTTTCCATATATCTAACAAAAGAAAATTTTACTCGTTACACATATCAGTGGTAACATCTTACCTTAAGCTTGTCCCTCTTCTGAACTTCCATAATGGCTCTAACACGCCTCTTGTTCTCCAGAGTACGTACAACAGCCTTGTACTTCCATCCCACTTCATGTGACAAACGTCCAACATGACAATACTGCAAAAGAATTTTTTTCATTAATAATGTAACTAACAAAGTAATAATCTAAATTACTAAAGTATATGCAACTCAGTAAATAGATTGCATCAAAGATTAGAAATACTAATTTTCAGACGCAAATTACCATGACATCATTGTGGTTTAAAAATGATATTTACAAATAGAAATGGAAGGTAATTTGAAAACGGTTTAACGACAATTATATAAACTTACCTTTCTGCCAGGCTTGAGGCATATAACTCTCATAGCTCCTGGGACGACAACACGTTTTCTGCGATCATAAGGTGGTGGGCAACCTTCGTAAACCTTCAACCTCCTTAAGGCATCCTTTCCCCTTTGTGTTTTGTGTGGGATCATCCCTAAAAGTAGAAACAGTATTTTTTATAAGAGAACCTCAAAGGAACTGATATAAATAATGTTATTTAATCCAACTTCATTATTAAAGATTGTTTCATGATCATTATCAAATAATGTAGGTAAGAATATTGTAATCATTAGATTGTTTTAATTCTGGAGCGATTAAACGTCTTGCACCATCATCCACGTACGTTAAAATTTGAAAGTATAAATTTCATACCACGCACTGTCTTCCATAAAATTCGGCTGGGTGCCCGGAAGTGGAACGGTCCACGTGCTGGATTAACATTACACCTCTTTCGTAGAAAAGACATAAATTTCAATTTATTCCTGTAATAGAACAAATGCATTAATATGTTATACATAAACCAAAAATCATAACATTCAATTATTCACTGAAGCATCATAAGAAATATATCTTTTCATGAGATTTCAAATAATGTAGGTAAGAACATTGATAATCATTTGCTAGTTAAACAGCATGTATATAACGAATTAAAATCAGAACTAACCTGAAAAAGTTTCCGGAAATATTAAGTTGTTCACTGCGAACAACGATGACTTTGTTGCCCTGAAGGATCGTTTTAGCGATGATAGCCGCCAGGCGGCCGAGCAAATGGCCACGGCCATCTATCAAAATTGGCTGCAAAATAGATACGTCGTCATGTACAATAATTAAAAATTCTTAAAACTGTCACTAGTTTAAAATTATTGTGCACCCGTGAAAATATATAACGACTTATGAATAAAATTAAATTTAATGTCACCATAACCCCTGACATCCTTGCCAACAAAATATGGTTAACTGTAAAAAAAGTCTATCCACACGTGGATACATAATCCCAAAAAACTAAAATGGAGCACTCGGTTAAAAGAATTATGCTTAGTTATTATTTAAACGCATATTCGATCACAAATAACTACCGAAGAGCGAAGACAATTCTAAACACGTGTGCCGCATCGGTCAACACTAACCACTTTCGTTGAATATTCGAACAATTATCGTAGAAAATTCCATCGTTCCCTTTGATACGTTTATCCGATAGTAAACACTACTATTTATCGTACCTATTTTCCAAATCTAAGATGTACTGGTACCTAAAATAACAAAATTATGGCCACAAACCTTTTCACTGAAGCCCGTCATTTTCTGACCCTGCCGGAAAAGGAGCCATGAGCATCAGGAAAGTGTGAGGTGGCGCCGGAAGGTACCGTGGTGAATTCCTAAACCAACCTGCAGCCAACTTTACGAAACTAAAACTTTCTTTCCGTTACGAGTGGAACAAGATCAGGATAATGGCGTTTGAAACTACAACCGACTGAGCACATTCGAGTAAGCTCTTTCGATACCAGATGGCGAAACAGCATACATTCCTTTTAAAGTAATCCTACTTATAGTTCGTTAAGAATTGAATTTATCCACACCCTTAAGACATTTAATTTCCAATAGATTTCCTTTCCTGTAATCACAGAAATCGGTCAATATAAAGGTAAATCGGCTAAAGGTAATCGTTCACTTGACAATGCAAAACCCGGAGAATCATGATGCCAATGTTTCAGCAAAAAGATGCGATCTCCACAAAGTATCGAATTAATTGAGTTTCCACCACTTCCCTTGAAGAGAACATCTGCCGGCAAAAGACCTTGGCACGTGGCTTCTTTGTCTACAGTAGGTGCCCTACTCCAGGGTGTTTGGTTTGAACGTTACCAGGGCAAGGAATCGCGCCAGATGCGTGCCCCTCTGCGGTTCCGGTCGACGAAATGCACCCCGAGCCCTTCTCGTGATTACTTTCAGACCCTGCGGGGAACTGCAAGGCGTCAGGAAGGAACGGAAAGAGGGCAGATGCGATCGTCCCTACCTTAACGAGGAGGGTGAATAAAAATAGCGCAAGACAGGAACCGGGGAATGATAAGAAACGCTCTTCAGGGTGCACACCGTGTACCATTTACGACCCTGCTTGTATATTCCTCTATATACTCGCTTACCATTTTATACCGATGAGCATTACTTCATATGTTAATTTCAGAAAGCCATACATGACCATGAAAGTACATGGCGCCGAATGGTTTGCTTTTATCGAGTCTCTGTACTCCACAGTGCCATCACTTTAGCCGCTTTGTGTATCCCCAAGGACGCCACCTTCGCCGGCATTAAGTGATTCGGTTTTATTAATCATGCTTCACGATCATGCAGAAAATCTCGGGCAAACAAGCCGGTAAAAAGAGATCCTTTCCGCTGATCGACCGTCAGACTGGATTCTTCACGCAAGGTGTACGTCGCTTTCAAATTATTCCTTTTTTCGCCTCGATTTCCAGTCTTGAATAATAAAATCCCTCTTCGGCGATGCTTTCCACTGGAAGTTTCATATACTGCATTATTACTCTTGTATTGTGATAGCTTGAAATAATTATAAATAATTTAGTGCATGGAAGTTATACCATGTTTCTTTTTTCTTTCTAGGTAAAAGACAATTTTAACCGATGATCGTGATTCGAACCGAAAAGGGGCAATCGGCAGATAAGTAAGGCCTGGAATAGCATGAGATCATCAGTCTTGTCGTTCGAATTCCAATTGCGTCATCGACATTTCACCTTCAGCCGTCGCCTTATTGAGCTGAAATGTGTGTACTCGCTGAAGTAATCCGGTCCGGAACGTGCTACACCATTGCGTGATCAATGAAGGCTGGATCGTAATTGAATCGTAATCCTGGAGTAATTGAACCGTACGGTTGTAACGCAATTGTAATTAAATCCTGCCTACCTCTCTATAATTAATTCCTCATGGCTTAGTTAATAACTCTTCATATACATATATTGTCACATTTCTTTTTTATTACAGGAAGATAAAGGGAAAATGGAATTCCAGTGATAATCTCCCCTCGAAATGGTTTTGCCCATTTTACGATTTCCATCTGTTCTCCGACGAGGCCTTTGACCATTGACTCCGAGTTACGTCTGGCGATCACTGAGAATGCACTTACGCATAAGTAATAACACCTATGATAGAGATATGTGTATGACCGTACGTACGGGGAGTTCTCAGGTACATGGCCTCGACCTTGGTGCATTGTACGACCATGCTGTGCATTGTCCCTTGGCGAAGTGTTTCTCAACTCGATACCTCTCCTCAACGGTGCATACATATTTACCTGCACATCGGAATGTGCAGACGACGCGAATCGCCCGCGAGACGATTTCATTGGATGAACACCCAGCGTCGAAATTCCTCGATTTAACGGCTGGAACGTAGCTGTAAAATAATTCCAACTGATTACAATAAAATCTTAATGATTGAATTTTTAGAAAGCGAGGTATGTTTCATGATGAATTGCAGTACCCGAGTCGACATAAATTAACGACGAAAAAGAGGCGATCAATGGAGGCCTGGTAATAATTCCTGCAAAAAAACAAGAGGCCAAACATTTTCGTATTCCTTCTGCCGATTGAGTCATCGATGATCGATGAACACTTGCACGACATGCCGTCACGGAGGTCATGTATAATCAGAGCCCATTGCTTTCGGTACTTGCTCATTCGACACGGATACGAAATTAATCGAGGAGGAAATCCGTGATCCATGCTCACCGCGTGTAATCCTGATTTTCCAATTTTTCAACAAAGTGGAATTTTTCTACCCACTGAGATCACGTTCCAATTCACGATATCAAGATACTCGTAAGGTCAGGGTCCCGGAATGTGGACCCGGCTTAAAGTTCAACAAAAAATACATACTCCTCATTGTTTGCTCCGAAAATATGCTGCCTTTCCGCGGCACCGAACGAATGTGCTCGTAACTCGCATGAAAGGAAGGAACGGATTTGGAGTTCGTCGAGAGGCTTTGGAGAGTCAGGCGAGAGGGAGGCCGTTATCAAATTCCTCGCATTCCATTGAGTGGTAGATTTCTCGTGAGGTGCTGGATTAAAGCCGGGATGTTCGACGAGTCTTGGGCACGTAAAGGCCGATGCCGGTGACCCTATAAAAAATATATAAATGCAGTCCCTTTGAACAGTTTCAGGTACGCTTGTGCCTAAATACACGTGTAAGCTCAGTACAGAAGGATTACCCTCACTTGCTTGAATGCATTCCCTTTGAGAGCGAACATCGTGTACTTATCCAGGTAACCGTGTACCATTAAAATAAATTAGGCCGCCTAAAATGCATATTTACGTTCCATTTTTGATCTTGTATAGAATTTCAGGATCATCCCGTAGACTCGGTGCGTAGGCTCGGTATAGGGCGTTTACACTTAGTTGCGGACAAGAGCGAAGGACTTGGCAGTGAAATTATTCCAGGCTTGTGTACGTACAATCCTATGGAACGGGCAACACGCCTCCACGCATAACTGGCCCTCGTTACCGCCCTGAGAATCGCGATATTGGTCTTGTTGCATTCTGGCCACGTGGCGACTTACCCGAGGAAGGCTCTTCCTCCTCCCTGAATCCTGGGACTCCAACCTGTGGTTCCCTGTTCCTGGCAACTTATCGTTCGGGTTCGGCGGGATAAGGGAGGAGAGAGAAGGCAACGGGGCAATGAAAAATTAGAGAAAGAGGGGCCAACTGGTTCCGGCGGGGAAAATCCGTTACGAAATAAAGGTTCACGACCCATTCTCGAATCGAAGGGTCGTGGCGACATTCTTTTCTTCCTACGATTCGTATTTTCCCCCCGTTCACCGTTCCGGAAACCGATGACTTAACGTTCCAGCTATTAATCCTACTCACCCACGAATTTAGTCGTCGGTCTATTAAGATAATTATACGTGGAAGTGTACCTCCTTTCACGCCGTTCGCAGACCCCGAAGTTCGGAGTCGCTTTCGGATGATGTCACCTCCCATATCGTCTGGAGAATGGAGGTCACGGGCCGTACGAAAAGAAATGACAATCGTTTCAGGAATTAATACACGAACTACTACTTAACAGGTATCGCCGAGTTGCCTTACTATCTACCCATTAATTATTAAATATATATTTTTAATACCCCTTTTCTTTCCACGTTCACAGTCCTGCTCTGGAACCTTCTTCGACTGACGTCACCTCTGATACCGCCTGGAGAATCGAGGTCACCGGCTCGGTGAAAAAAGTAGTCAACAAATTCATGCGTTCACCGAGCCGCCTTTAAAGGATCTTTTTATATTTGTTGGTTCATTATTTATGTATTTATATATTGAAATTATATTTCTATACCCGTTGTATTTTAGCCGAATCTGCATGACTACGTCCACAAGCGCTTGTTCACGTTCCTGGACCCTTTTACCTGGACTCCTTCGGAATTCTCTTCGAGATCCCTTCGGGATCTCCTTCGGATGACGTCACCTCCGGCAGCGTCTGGAGAACGGAGGTCACGTGGTGCGATGAAAACTCAATACTGGGTTCCTTCGACGAATGGGCGGGGAATCCCCTGTCGCGGAGGCCCTCAGCTTCGGCAGTCAGTAGTGCCGCGACCGCCGGAGCGTGAACGTCTCCGAGTGCTTCGAACTCCTCTCTCCCCGGAGCTTCCCGGACTCGTATTCCTCTCGAGGGACCTTAACCTTCGACATGGCCAGCAACCGAGCTACGAAGTCTGGATTCGCGGCGGAGGCGCAAAGGAAGGTGAGCAAACGCCAAAAAACTAATCTCACTTTGTCCATTTTTTTTTTTATATTTCTCTACACAACCATGAATCTTAATTAAGCCCCCGGGACATGATTTACCGCTTCGGTGGGTTATACGAATTTGATGAGAAATGATTTATACACTTTGAGAGGCTGTTTTCGCGATTCGACCCCGTGACCCAGTACAAGGTTTATTGATTTTTCGCAGCGGCAGGAAAAGCTTTTTAGGAGGTGAATGGACCAGGGGGGAAGCCTGGAATTGGGGTCGGGCAAGAGGGGACTTGGCTTTTGTGTCAAAGGTTTTGGATTTCTTCGAGGTGTAAACGGGTGATGAACATGCCTAAAACGGAATCCGTTTCTTGGTTTGAACGTTCCCGCGGTGTTTACCCCCTGACCTAGTTCAAGGATTATGGATTTCTGGACGGACGTGCAGCGAGCACCAGGTCGACCTCCCTTGAAGTATGAATGGACCCTGGGAATTGTACGTTAGGGGCTCCGAACCTGTTGCCAACTTTTGCGCCATTTAACGCCTCTGGTTAGTCGATAAAGCTTAGGAGACTCACTGGATGTCGATACGGATTCTTTTAGCGACGATGGAAAAGGGTTTACCGGGCGTTACACTTCCGCGTCCGCGACACTGACCTACCGCGAGGTCCATCGATTTTTCACGGCCTCGTGGTGACACGAGAGCTAAACTTCCCTCGGCACCGAGAACTGGAATCAAGGGGCTGCGTTTCCGCCCCGGTAACTCGGAGTCTGGCTCAATTCGCATTCAACCATGACCTACATCAAGGTGCGCGAATTTTCCCCGGAATTATGAGTCCCGGTTAAATGCGGCTTTTCAGGGTATATTAATAATTAACGACGAAAGAGGAAATCTCGCTCTTTCATTTGAATTTTTCGCGGGTCACTGCGCGGATTTATACCTTGGAGTTTTTTCAAGGGCTTGATGTTCGTTCCATTGAAATTTTCAAGGCGGGGTAAAAGTTTCTTGGGGAGTGGAAAATCGAGGGGGCGATTTACTGGAGAAGTAGACTTCGTTTGGCGTCATCCTGACCTACTTCAAGATCTAAAAGTTTTCCAGATAGCGTACAGCGACTTCGGAGCGGAGTTTCCCTCGGTGACTTGATTCGCGGACCACTCGCCCCGACCACTTAGGGTGATAGAGGCTATCGCTGCACTTTCCTGACCCGTTGCAATCGTTTATTCAAGAGAGAGAGAGAGAGAAACCGAGTGCCGATCTCCAGCCGAGATTTCGTGCCCACGAATGCCTATTCCGCTCCGGCTTGACTCGCCGCTCGTGGAAACGCCAGGAATGCAGATTCGATTTTATGAAATGCCCTCGATAACACCGAGACACCTCGACGAGCTCTGTCGAGGGACAAACGGAATTTGCGCGAACGTCAGGGCGTGTCGCTTAAGGGAATTCATAATTAATAATATCTAATATCTAATAATTTCACCTTAGAAGTATCACTTTCAAAGCGCGTGTCGGCCACGCGTCGGTTTTCAATTTATTCCGATATAACCATCGGAAGGAAAATTGCTCAAGGTAGAGTAAGGAAATTTTTATTACGTATTCTTTTTAGTTTTATTTTTTTTTCCCCGTTAAAAATCTCTGCGTTTAACACGCGACGAAGAAGTGCGGAGTCGTAACAGCTGCTATATGGGTACGCGTCTTTGGAGTGGAATTAAAACGAGGCCCGCTTTGCCGAACAAGGGAGCGTCTCGTAAAACTCGACGGCCATGGTACACTTTTTAAGTTTGCCTCGTCGCCTTTTTCGTCGTCGTTCGCCCTGGCGGAGCCCTCTTTCGCGAGGCGAGATTCCTCGCGGGAGAATCCCTCGACGCGTATCTAACGTACCGATAACGCGAGCTCCGGGACATTTTCTGCTCGTTCCGAGATATATTCTCTTCTCTTTCGAACACTTTTTTTATCCTCGCAACTGCCTGCCGCTATCGGTCGGACACCTTGGCCTCGCGTTACGCGTCGTCGTGCGACTCATCGATGACAACATTTCGTGTCCTCGCGGATGGAGAAAAGTTCTCTTAAAGAAGAGAGAAAAATATAAAAATAGACGTTTCTGCTTAACTACTCTTTCGGGAAATTATTTTTTTTTTTTGCAATATCGTACGTACCATTGCGGAGACTCCTCGCGTCGATTTTCCTTGTACGCTTCGCGATATCCAAGAACTTTCTCTGCGCGGGGTCAGGTAAAAATGTCCCCCAGAGGTTGTAAATCAAAGTCCTGATTATACACCTGAGGTCGGTACCTCGGGTTGCACAACTTTTCTTAACGGTCAGACCGTATCCTTCCGAGGACGCACTCGGTTTAGGCTCGTCGTTGTCTATATTCTAGATTTAATGGGCTTAATTGTCGCATTATCTTGGAAGGGTCATCGGCACAAGTGGTCGTAGAGCGCGGTGCCATTTTATCTCGCGGCTAATTTCTCGGTAACCGAGTGCAATGAGTTTGCGTTTGTCCTGAATGGGAGATCCAGAGGAAAGGGATGGAAAATTTGGGACGAGAGATAGAGGAGGGATTTTTATGAGCCGGTTTTGAGGGTCCTGGGGGGCCTTGAAGGAGCGAGTTGGCATGAACATCACGCTCGAGGATCGTGGATGGAGCGAGTTCGCCAACCCGGGAAAGTTGTGGCTCAAAAACGTGCCTCTGCACCTTGGGAACTAGTCGAGTCGTTAGTCACAACTCTGAGAACGACCACATCCGATTTCTGCGAGTCGATAACGCCGCCGCTCCGAGATTCGACGAGAGATTCACGGGTGACACGAAGTCGACCGTAGTTTAACGGCGCCGAAGGACCACCGCGAAGCCCCGCCTGATAATCGGCGATTATTGACCGTTTAATCCAGAGTACGGAATACCAGGACGGGATTTCTCGTTAAGACCAACCATCTCTCTACGATATTTACGGACTGGCCGCGGAAAAATGCGCTTATCGCGGGACGCGGTGCGAAACCGCAGCCCGCGAGTGCACTTTCCCGACGCGGAATTGGCCGGCACTTAAACGAATGATGTAACCCGAGTTTAACGCCGGATGCAGTTTCTCGGGTTATTAGGTAAAATAACGTAATTATTGTCCGCTATGTGGAGATACGTGCTCAGGAGCCGAGGAGATTCGGATTCTCGGGTCGTTTACAGTCCGCGGCTCCGAAGTCAAGGAAGTTAATTCGACTGAAAATTCGCCTTTTGTCTCCGATGGTGGAAAGGGGAGATCTTAGGCGGTCGATGATAATTCATCAGTCCATGGTTCGAGACATCCGGCCTAATGATCTCTTCCGGTTCGCTCGCACGGAAGAACGTCTCGCCTGCTTGGTGTCCGACCGGGTGTACCTAATAAGCGTATCAATTACTATCGGACGTATATTATTACGAATACGCCCAATGTACCGGAGGTATCGATGCCGCCGCCAATACAGATATCGGTGCCAATAGCGACGCGAGTGTGGTCAGGACTTGGTGACAACGTTACTTCTCTCAGTCGTAAAGGCGAAACCGCAACGAGATGCGGATAATCGTTGGACTTCCTCGTCGGACGACGAGGCCGCACTTTTTGCCCTACGTCGTTCCAGCCTCGTTCTAGGCACCTCGGGTTCCTGCGAGATTTCAATGAATGCCATATTATATTCACCGGCTAAAAATAAACCCGCCTCGAGTGTAAGGAGGAAATATGTATTAACGGCCGGAAATGGCGTGAAACGTCTTCCCTTGCGTCCGGAGCCAACGTGGGCTCGCTTCGCCTAGGAAACTTTCCATTACAGGACTCGCGAATGTTGCCCCGAAAACCTCTTTTTTAACCTCCGGTCTGAAACTACAAAAGCCAAATTTTATACTCCTCTCCTCTATTTTTTAATTCCATCTAGGATTTTTCGTATCCTTCCGGCACGTGTCAAGCATCCTCTCGAACAGAAGCTCCATTGATTCTTATCGCTCCGATTTGATAATGGAACGCTGGCATTTATTTTATAACAAGGCCACGGCGCTGATTAGATCCACTTCCTTCCTCTATGACAAATAAGCCTCTCCGTGGTTTCGGGAATTTTTTTTTTCAATCCGCAGTTCTGGAGTAATAAAATGGAACAATGACGGAATTTATTTAGGCTCCGTGTCTCATCCCGGGATTATATTTCGAGTCGAGGTAACGCGAAATCCGAAAGTCCAGTGCCGGCCTTATACGGTTTTGCCTGTATGATGTTTATGACTCATGCTCCAGCATAACTTCATTCTTATGTCATACTCCTATCAATAGGCTCGAGGAGAGTGTAGACAACGGCGTATTCCTCGGTGAATCCTTGCGCCGAAATTAATTAGAGCCCGACATACGGCGAGTGGGTTCGATAATCGATCGGGATTGAGCTTCGAAGCCCTTCTAGGTTGAAAATCAACACCTGACTACCCTTATTAATTTCCGGTGGTCCTTATTAAATTTTCTGGACCCCCAAATTGACCCCACGTGCTCGATTTCGCTCCGTAAACTATCCCTCGGGACTCTAGGCCAGCTTGATAACTGCGTATCAATTTAAGATACGCGTGATTTTTCTTTTCCTGGTGCAGATAGCTCGTGGACAGCTTCCTGGGAATTTTTTTTATATTAATCGAGGGATGGAGAGATATTATTCCGGAATTTTTATTCCCGAAGAGTCGGCTCCTTCGGCTCGAGATTCGGTCCTGGACTTTCTTGGGCACAAATTTCTCGTTATCCTCGTCGACTTTTTTTTTTCTCTTTCTCCCTCTCTCCCTTTTCCATCCCGACTGGCCATGGCCGGGGACTGGCTAAAGATTCCACCGCGAAACGGGTTAAGTGTCCTTCAAGGCCTCCCTTCGGCCGGAGGGCAATAACGGAATTATGCCTTTGCTCATTTTTCTACCCGCTACTCTCTACGACGGGGGGAATCGAAGTGCAGGGAAGAGCGTGCACTTTGAACGGGAGAAATGTAAACATCCGTGGTGTAAAACCTTCCGACGATCCGAGTGGCCG